GGGGGGGGGCAAATAGCGATGGGTCGCCCGTGTGCTAGGGTATAGTTTGTGGCGGGTTGCCACATTGTAGATGCAAAGAGCATTGGTGATACCTGGACGGTGGCTGCGGCGACGTCCGATTCTCTCGTCGGCGATTCTCACTCGGGCACGTTCATATACACTCACACCAGCGTCGACGATCTTGACGTCGACACAGCCTTGCGACGTGCAGCCACAGCCCACACCCGAGTCGGGACCTGTCAAGCCCAGACGTCAAACTGCCGCCGAGCCACGCTTGGCCGTCTGCACAAGACACGTTTGTGACGAGCTGTTCCTGAGCTCGGCTACCGGGAGCAACCCTCCGGGCCAAAAGCTAGTGGCGTGCTCGCAGGGACGACCTTGCGCCGCAGACTCGACGAGGCGGGGATTAGGCATGTGGTCAGCGCGCGGGGGGCGGAGGATCCGGAGCGGTCAAGAGGATCCAAAAGCGTGCCGACTCGGCTCAGCCACGCACGGGAGTTTCGGTTGGCGCTGGTGCCGGCCGAAGCGCCAAGTGATGGCCGGGGTAGATTGCTGCAGTTATATTGCGCCGGCGCAGCCTTTGGTCTCAGTCATCAGGCGCTGTTATGTCGTCCATCGTCCCGAGATTATTCAAGACAGTCTGCTTGCCAGTCTCGGACCCGAAAAGGCAACATAATCTCCCTCGAAAACGTCGTCAGCCGTTGCACTATTTTTAAACCTTAGCAACCGAAAGCGATGTATTCGAGGCTGTGTTGTGAATTCGAGGGCCTCTTCTTTCAAGACATGCTGATTCTCCTTCCAAGATCATTCCGTCATGAATGGGCGAGCCAATTCTGCAGGCTACGAATGCCTGCCGCCGTCATGGAGGAATACCTCGTTGGTCATGTCGGCCAAGGCCTTTCTTCAGCCCGGGCCAGTAAGCATCAAAGGTTTCGGTTTTGTCAAGCTGAGAAGGGCGGGGATCTAGCAACTGGCAGAAGCATCCAATGCAGAAAACTTCATACTTTCCCTCCCTTTTCTCATCGGATCTACTAGGCATCTCAAAGGGCAGGGTGTAAACACCATCTCAAAGCTCCAGCTTCAAGCTTGGGCTTTCCATGTCGATTCTTTGGTGAGCGGGCAGCCTATTTCGCGCAGAGTTGCAGCTCCAGCACCAGCTTTCGTTTCAGCCAGTCAGCGACCTGCAATGGTCCAAATTCTTCGCGGCCGGTCACGTGCGATTCCCACACATCACCATCACCCGACAACACACAATGGCCCCACCGTGGACACCCTCGAGCCCCGTCTCCCCAGAAACGGGTGGACAACATGCACGGGTAAACAGTCCCTGCAGAGTCGGGCAAAATACGTCGGACCCCCGATCCACGATCCCAACCCACCAACCTGCCTTGGGTATAGCCGACGACACAGCCATATCGTGTAACTGTTTAATTCACCCAACACAGATCTCGAGGCACATGAGTCCGCCTCCACCTCCGCGTCCATAGCAGCAGCAACACCACCCACCCAGCTTCACAAACAAGCACACCCGCCGCGGCAACACGCTGCGCCGAAGCCCACCTTTGGATGCTGAGCGCCTCACGATACCCGTCCCGCCATGGATCCGACATCGCCGAACTGTCGACACTCGACGCCACCAGCCGCCACCGCCGCCGCCGCCACAACCTCCCCGCTGCAGGCCGCGTCGGCTGACCGCGTCAACCAACAACGTGAACCGTCGTCCTTCATGTCCTCGTTTCAGCGGAGCGGCACCGTCGTCCCCGCCACCGGCCACTCGCGTGACAGCTCCGTCCACGACAAGATCAGCCAGTTCAACACCCTCGCCGTCCAGTCCAAGCAGCTTGAGCGCAAGACTACTGATGCTGCTCTCAAGCGTGCTATGCTCGGCCGCGAGGAGGCCGAGGTCGAGATGCGCCGGTACCGCGACGAGGCCCGGGCCTTGCGCCGGCAGGTTGAAGAAGGCAAGGAGAGAGAACGCAAGGTTGGCGAGAGGCTGGAGACTGTGATGGTGCGCTTCATTTTTTCTTCTACCCCGCCTACAGGTCATGTTTGGTGAAGCTGACAACGGTCCTACTTTTCCGTGGGAACACAGGAGAACTACGGTCGCGCAAAAGAAACGCACGCACACACGCAGGCTCTTTGGGAGAAGGAGATACGGCGCGCGCGGAAGGACACTTTCAAGTCACAGAGCGTCATTGTCAAACTGCAGGAGGAGCTCAAGGCGGCGCGGGCGGCCGCTCAAGCAGCCGAGACCGCACTAGCGGAAGAGAAGGAGCGCGCCCAGGCTAGGGAACAGGAAGCGTTCGCTGCTCGCTACGAGGTCGTCGGCGTCCAAGAGCAGTTGGAGCAGATGCAGGAGCGCCTGAAGGCAGTGGAGCAGGAACGCGACGCTTTCAAGACGCTGGCAAAGTCCGAGGAGGACCTCGCCAGGATCGCAGCCGAGGGTCGCCTGCCACTGCCCAAGCTGGAAGCTGAAGAGGAGGAGGACAGAGAGGACGACAACGGCGAGCTTGCCTTGCCAGTGAAGGAGAGTCCCAAGTCGCGCCAGGTATCGCTGTCGACTACCGACGTCAAGTTCTCGGAGTCGAGCGAGGCCGAGATCGAGGAGCTGTCTCTCAGGCTGCAATGGGAGAAGCAGCGGGCCGACCGCGCCGAGGACCACGTCGAGTACCTGCAGGCCGAGTGCCTCATGCGCGCCTGCCCCTGCATGAAGTCTCGTCCTCGCACCAGCATCTTCAGCCAGTCTCACCGGAGGCAGCCATCGATGGAGATCGTTGATCCCAGCGACCACGCCATCATCGGAGGCAAGAGGTCTATATCGCCACAGAGGTCGACCTTCTCTCCGAAGAGAAGCCGGATCGACAACCCGAAATGCAGGTCGTCGAGGCGTAGTACCATCTTCGTTCCCGAGGAGGGCGTTTTCCGCACCGTGTCTCAGGAGGAGGCAGAGGCTATGGCTGCCCCGTCCATCCCTATTGTCGAAGAAGAAGAATCCGCCGACACCACCGTGGAGCCCGCAACCCCGATTACGCCCCTGACCCCCGTCGAGATGAAGAACAGTTCGGAAGCATTTGCGCGGACCCCGTCCCTCGACCCGCCCGCCTTCGCCGCCCTCTCTGACTCGAGGACCTCGCTTCTTTCCCTTCTAGACGCTCCGCACCAGAAGGATGAGCCCAGCACCAGGTTTGAAATCCCGACCATGTCTGGGATGGTTATCCAGCAAGAATTTGTTCAGGAGACGACGATAGTGGAGGAAGTCCGCGTTCCCGCGCCCTCTCGGTCTAGGCGCCACGAGACCCCCGATGCCGCGTTGCCTGTGCCGCAGCTTGAGCGGGCGGCGCGCGAGAAGACCCCGACCAATGGGGACTTTGAGGCAACCATAGTCGCGGATCGCGGGCGAACACGGAGTCCCGAGGCGGGAGCCCTCCCCGCGACTTCCATCCCCGACCAACAGTGCGAACCGCAGGCGCGCGCGCGCGAACCACGCCAGCCCGCCGAGGCATCGACGATGGAGGAGGAGTACCGCAGATCCCCTGAGCCGGCACCGCGCCCTCACACCTCGGCGGCGCGATACGGTGCGTTGCAGACGACAACCATGACAACCAAGGTGCCGCTGCGGGAGGAGAACACGGACCCGAGCCTGGCGAAACGACTGATGGCGCTCCAGCGCACACCGTCACACGACAGCTCAGTGCGTAGCAGCACCAGCAGCCGTGGGTGGTCAGCCACCGACGACGACGGGCCCTCGTTCGACGTCACCAACCCGGCGCTCACGCCCACCATGACGCGCGAGCAGGCCCTGGCGCAGATCAGGGAGCGCCGCGGTAGGGCGCGCAGCGCCATGGGCACCAACCGGCCTGTCACGCCCGGCGCAGGCGCCCGCCCCGTCACGCCTGGTGGTGGTGCCCGCCCTGTCACTCCCGGTGGAGGTCTCGGCGCTGGGGGGATGAAGAGGCCGATCAAGCAGCCAGCTCTGGGCGAGCGGAGGGATGTCAGCGCGCCGGTGGGGCGCACGGTCGCGCCCCTGAGCGCCGCCCGTAGGAGGGTCCGGTCGTGATGATATTCCTGCCCTTTTATTTTTTTTCTTCTTTGTTGTTATTTTATTCTTTGCCCTTAACGATCATCACGACGACCACGAACTTGGCGGCGACCTTTTTGTAGGCGGCACACGCTCGGGACAGGGCCTGGGGGATCGGTTGGATAGGATCAGGTTTCCGGTTCCCAGTGGAATCTTACTTTTTGTCTTGTATCTTTTCATACTTGTCCTTGTCTCCCAGGTTGCCCATATCTTGATGGTCATGAGACAGGTGGGAGTTGTTCAGGCCACTCGGGCGAGGGGAAGGAACCGCTATCGATGGGTTGTAATTGCACAACAAACAGCTCGCACCCTTTTTTTTTTGTGTTGTTTTGTTTGTCTTGGCTGTCTCCATACCCTGGGCGTTTTGTTCTTTCTGGGAGCAAGAAAACGGTTTTGGGTGAGCTTTTTGTACAGTGTTTTCTCGCCCCTCTTGGTGCCTTCGGGACCGGCCCTTTTTGTTGGTTTAAGTCACAAAAAGAAGGTACATTGCTGGACATACATACATACATACATAAAGTAATCTTTGCTATTCTCGCCACCACAAACCGCGTCCGCACGTTACTTTTGTACCCGGCTTCTAACATCGGGTAACATATAGCAGTATCCCGACGTATCGGATCGTCCTCCTGCAGTTTTCGTGTAACGATGGTCTCATTGGTTTATCGACATGCGCGGTGGGAGCAGGGAGCAATAGTCCAAGGGTTGTGGGAGAGATACCATGAAGCCTTTGGCAGGCATCGCCAAGCCGGCCTCCGTGCGACCCAGACAAAGAGCGATACACACAAGACACATGAGCGAATGGGCTTTGGTGCGCTAAGCTGATTTCTACCGCGCCAAGGCAGCCCGCATACCGTCTGGTACGAGCTGATAGGTGACTGGAAGGGGGTAGCTGAGAAAAGAACACTGGTTGGTGTCCTATCCTCGGGTGGCTTTAAGCATGCATGGCTCGAAGTGCTTCATGAGGATATTGGACAGAATGCGCACATTTCATGGTCACATTGTAATAAGTGCTGTGCTTCCAGGTCAGCGCGCGGCAAGGCTGGAGAGAATGCATTGTGCGCCTTCGCTTGTCGCATGACCGAGCTCAAGCTGTGATTCCCTTGGTGTGGAGTTACATGTAGCTACCAAGGAACCTTTGCACCCCCAGGTATCTGGAGATTTCTGTCAGCCCACTGAGCTCCCCTGCCGCAACCTGTCTTTGCAGAGTGCGGCAGTTTTGGCGTGGAATTGAATGGATGTAGGGCCAAGGGAAACGGCACAGAGAAACAAAAGCCAGCCGACGCGTCATTATCTCATTACTAAAACTATCGGGTATATCCAAGCCCACTAAACCAACTCCTACGTTCGCCTTTGCTCAGCAACCCGACCCTCATGTGCCAGCAAGGAATCCCCTCTGCGCGTTCCTCGAATGCTCCGAGCTGAAGGCGTCTAGCCTGACGGCAACAAGGACGCACTCGATCGGGCTCTTGCCTGCCCTGGAACTCTGTATGCGCAGCCTCCACTGACCCGTCCGCACGACCCACTCGTCGCCGCCCGACAGCCCTACCCACGGGCCCAAGCCGAGCCGCCGCCTCTTGCGCACGGGGCTCGCAAGCGCCGCGGGGTCGACCGCGCTGCCTCCCGCGCTGCTGGACGTGGGCGCGGCGGCGTAGTCGGCCGAGATGGTGGCGGAGGCCTGGAAGTGGCGGTCCAGGGCGTCGCAGTGCGCCGTGTACGGCCTGCCGTCGAGCGTGATGGCTGTTTCGGGCTCGATGACGACGCGCACGAGGTCGTCGCTTATCGGGGTGTTCCCCGGCGTCGGGGGTTGGCTGCTAGCGCCGCCCTTGCCTGCGAGCAGGCCGGGGGGCTGCGCAATGAGCGGCAGGTTGAGCTTGGTGGAGATGACCTCGAACAGGCGCGCGATGCGCGTCCTGACGTCGCGGAAGAACTCGGCGCGGGCTGGCATGACGAGCGTCGCCGGGTCCGTGGCAGAACCTGCGATGCCGACAGCGCCTGCTGGCAGGTGCAAGCGGGTAGTCTCTCTGCCGATCTCAAGGACGAGCTCAGCGGGGTTTTCACCGATGTAGGGGCGGGCGTAAGTGATCCAGGCGGACAATGGGTCGGCCGGGTGGGGCTCCGGGGCAATGCTGATACCGGACTTGAGAATATCCTCGACCCGGAGGACGATCTCATCGCGGCCGCGGGCCTGGTTGTGTGAGATGGCGTGGGGGATAAGTCGCTGCTCGAGGCCCTTGAAGTTGAAGTAGCGGCAGTCGCGAAGCAGCTCCTGGCGGTGGGCGTCGTCGCGAATATTCACGGGGTAGCCCCTGAGCAGGTGTAGAATCTCCTGGAAGGTGTCGGCCGACCTTTGCGGCACGGAAGGGGGCATTATTGAGGGTGGCCGGATGAGATCCTTACGGTCTAGACCTGGGAAGAGGTCCTCTGGGGACGAGAAGAAGATTGCGAAGCCTAGAGTGAAGAAGTTTGGCGAGTTGCCTGGGTCCTGGAACAGATCACGTGGGATCTGGAACTCCCGGTGGCCGATGGACATGAAGATGGACTCTTCGTACAGCTGCGATATCAACTTTGGGACTGGATGAGTGTGCGTGAAACAATGGCGGAAGGAGGGAGGACCCCAAGAGAGCGAGCTGATTAGCACTTGGACATGGCTGCATCACTGAAAACGATACGTAGGGGGTAGGTCGTACGAGAGTAGAACTGAGCATCGGCAAACAGCCGCACAAAGTGGGTGCCATCACGAGGCTGGACGTGGTAGCCCTGTAGGTGGAGGGCGATGTCTTTAAATGTGCTGGGGTCACGGTCAATGTAGAGGGTGCGGATGGCCGAGGCAGCGTCCTCGCCCTTCTCCTCGGCCGTCTTGATCTGACATTGGAAGTACTGCGAGAAGTACGACGGTGCTGAATCGGAGGTGTGTTAGCGACCGTGCTCCTTGTGTTCCCGGCGAGGGGTCGGTGTCACGGGCCTACCGTCGGAGGAGAGCGATGCGCCCGAGAGCTTGAACAGCTCGGAGCCGATCTGGATGGGAAAGACGCGCTCATGGGGCAGCACATGGGGGATCTTGGTGATGAGCTGGACCGCCTGGGACGGCTGTAGGAGCCCACTGCCTGGGGTTTGCCCTTCGCCGGGGGGGCGTTCTTGTCCCATTTGGCGTGGACACGCGTGCCGGGCTAAGGGTCGAGGCTGGCGTATCAGTCTGCGATGGTGGGATTGTCTATGTCGACTGCTCTCATTTGCCGTGCGTCGTTGAACGTGGGAGCCGTGGAGATTTGATTCAACACTAAGCCCGCCGCGTCGGGAGCGCGAGTCAGAGATTTGCGGCCCGGTTTTCTGGCATGGTTCGGACCAGCCGCCAAATCGTGGGGGCACAGACCCAGTCAAACCTCCAATTCAGCTGAACCACGCCCAGCGCACTTGGGAGCTGTCAACGCGTGCCAAGATGCGGTTAGGCTATTGAAGATGAGGCCTAGATGTCATCACCCAGATCACATCCCTCCGTCTGCGACTATATTCGGAGCTGTGGTTGTGGGCGCTGTATCCCATTCCACCGATTTTCCCTTTGCAATTATCTGATGTAATGAATTCATGATGCGTCACTGTTTCTATCCTATTACCTGGTGCCTGGAGGCCTTTCCATGCAGATCTCCTTCGTGTCAGCAGCCTTCCTGTGCAGCCCAAAAGCTAGAGGCTACTTACCGTAAAGGACCCTTGGCAGCCTCTCAAAGCTGGCCCACATGCCAAATGCTACTATCATTACCCCATTTCCTGTTCCGTCGTGGGAATCCCTGCTTTTGTGTGGTCTCGGAAGACGGTTCCGGGTTCTCTGGGTTCCGCGGGAGCAATTCATTACATGCTGATTTTTTTTTGTGCACTTTGATGACGGCGGTTGTTCGTGGTCGTGTGCACGGCCTGGCTTGACGGCAGCGTGGACTCCTAGTACGTTATGGGGTGGGGTGCAAGCCCTCTTGTTGCCTGGATTACCTCTTGAAATACCAAGTTCCTGCCCAAGTCCATTGCAGCTCAGCCACTGTGTCGGGGTCTTTCCTCAGGAGCTGCAGACACCCGTGCAACTGTGCGACGGCGGTGAAGGACGCTGTCGTATTGCTATCTGCCTCCCCAGTTTCGGGGTTGGCATATCTTTAGTGGATCATCAGGCGATGGATAAAGTGCATAGCACAGGTCAGCCGCACCCACTCAGATCCGTCAAACCGGTAGCCACGGCTACTGGCCGGCACTGGACCAACCCGAGAAAGCCGAAGCAGGCAAGGTGTCTGTATGGTGGCAGATAGAAGGGAAACAGAGCACTGCCTCCATTCCTTGATCGTTTCTGGTGGCTGGCGGTGGTTGTGGTGGTCGCAGCTTGAGAAGTCGGAACATGTCCCGTGTGTTGTGGGGAGCGACGAGCGAGCAGGTGACTGGCTGGACTGACTACTGGTCTCGATTGCTACCCCTGCCGTTTGTTCCCTGCTCCCTGCCCTGGTCTGTGGGCGGCGAAGGCCTTGAACGGCAGGCGAGCTTTTGTCCCCTTGATTACATAAGGCGGAGATCGTGTTCGGGATTGGCAGGCCGGGCAGGTAATGTCAACAAATCCTTTTTCTTAGCGCAGCCGGGTCCCATCAAGCAAATTTCCCCCCACCACCGCCCGGACACCAAACTCCTGGCTGGCTGCAGCATTTGATCCGCATCTCTTTTGCTCCCAGGACTTCCCGCATTCTCAACCTCCAAACCATCCTCGGGCTCTTCGTTCGCAGGAATCAGCCTTGCTCTCCAAGTTGCCTTGTCTTGCAAAGCATCCTCACCAACACTCCCACCCGACACCACAGAGAACCCCTCGTCCTTCAAGATGCGCGAGATTATCAGCATCAACGGTGAGCGCGTTTTCCCCTCGTGCCTCACCGCATCCGAGCTACTTGCTACAGCAGCTCGACTGCAGAGACAGCTAACTGACATCTCTCACCCTCACAGTCGGCCAGGCCGGTTGCCAGATCGCCAACTCTTGCTGGGAGGTGAGCACATGTGATCGAGGCCACACCGCCGTCACCCGCCAAGCAAGCTCGAGCTCGTCGGACGTCGAGCGAAAGTGTCGATGGCGATATGGATACGATACCGTGAAGACTGGGAACTAACGCACCCAACTTTTGCAACAGCTCTACTGCCTTGAGCACGGCATCCAGGTACGATCACCCCGGCACATGGGCAGGCGACCCGGATACGCTATAATATTTACTTGCTAACATTGTTGTTCCTTCCACCAGCCTGATGGATTCCTGACCGAGGAGCGCAAGGCCGCTGACCCCGACCATGGCTTCAGTACCTTCTTCTCTGAGACCGGTAACGATATACCATCCGACTATCCCCATGCATCTCGTCTCGGCCAGCACTGACATGCTTTGGGGTCCTCTTCTTCAGGCCAGGGCAAGTACGTTCCTCGCACGATCTACTGCGATCTCGAGCCCAACGTCGTCGACGAGGTCCGCACCGGCCCCTATCGCAGCCTTTTCCATCCCGAGCAAATGATCACGGGCAAGGAGGACGCGTCCAACAACTACGCCCGTGGCCACTACACGGTCGGAAAAGAGTTGATCGACCAGGTCCTGGATAAGATTCGCCGCGTCGCCGATAGCTGCGCTGGCCTCCAGGGTTTCTTGGTCTTCCACTCGTTTGGCGGAGGTACCGGTTCCGGATTCGGGTCGCTTCTGATGGAGCGCCTGTCGGTCGACTACGGAAAGAAGAGCAAGCTCGAGTTCTGCGTTTACCCGGCGCCCCAGACCGCCACCTCGGTTGTCGAGCCTTACAACTCGATTCTCACTACGCACACCACCCTGGAGCACGCCGACTGCTCCTTTATGGTGGACAACGAGGCCATTTACGATATCTGCCGCCGCAACCTGGGTCTCGAGCGTCCCAACTTTGAGAACCTGAACAGGCTGATTGCTCAGGGTACGTGTGCCTGTTATGTCGAAGAACCGGACATCTGCCACGGCGAACATGGTACGAAGTCATAATGCTGACCTATGACGTCTGCACCATCGATAGTCGTCTCTTCCATCACCGCGTCGCTCCGTTTCGATGGCTCCCTCAACGTCGACCTGAACGAGTTCCAGACCAACCTGGTGCCTTACCCCCGCATCCACTTCCCGCTGGTCGCCTACGCTCCGGTTATCTCGGCCTCGCGCGCCGCCCATGAGGCCAACTCAGTCCAGGAGATGACCATGTCCTGCTTCGAGCCCAACAACCAGATGGTCAAGTGCGATCCCCGCAACGGAAAGTACATGGCTACCTGTCTGCTGTACCGTGGTGACGTCGTTACCAAGGACGCGCACGCTGCTGTGGCCACGCTGAAGACCAAGCGGACGATCCAGTTCGTTGACTGGTGCCCCACTGGATTCAAGCTTGGTATCTGCTTCGAGCCCCCGCAGATGGTGCCCAACGGTGACCTGGCCAAGGTCGACCGCGCTGTGTAAGTTTGGCTTGCGCTCAAGGCCCCATAGATATTGGCTGTTGCACGGGGCAAAGTTTACTGACTCGATCAACTTTCACCACAGCTGCATGCTTTCCAACACCACGGCCATCGCCGACGCTTGGTCTGCCCTGTCGACCAAGTTCGACCTCATGTACTCCAAGCGTGCCTTCGTCCACTGGTACGTCGGTGAGGGTATGGAGGAGGGTGAGTTCTCCGAGGCTCGCGAGGACTTGGCTGCGCTTGAGCGCGATTACGAGGAGGTGGCCACGGACTCGATTGGCGAGGACGATGCCGGTGAGGCCGAGTACTAAGCAGCGCGGCACTGAGGCCGGGACCGGACCACGTTTTGTCATAGTACTTACCGGCATGGCTCGCGAGAGTTGGAGCACGGATATGATGTCACCCGATACCAGAAACCCCCATAACATACCCCAGCCCTGTCACAGCACCGAATTCTGTCGAGTCTCTGATAGCACCGAAGCCCGCATTGAGTCGGCCTGTCTGGAGGATGTCGGTGAGCCAGGAGCATCATGAGGATCGACGTGGCCGTTCTACTTCGTTTTGGTCCGGCGAGAAAAAAGTGATGATAGCCCCTTTTTAATTAAATTACAACTGTTCTGAGTTTGCAAAGCACGGTGCATCGCGGAATGCGCATCCGAGCATAAAGAAGCATTTGGGGATGGTTGTGATGATGCATACAATTGTGCTTGGTGGATACAGGCAGCTGCGGAGTCGGGCCCCAACCTGTCAGCGGCTGCCCAAGCTGCATGGCCCTATACGCGGCAATCAGTCGCGTCCCAATGATGGCGGGGGATAGGTACCCAAATCGCAAGCCGTATGCACCTAGTTGATGGGAGTGCATGGTGCCGCGCGCAGCTGCGCCGTCGGGCCAGGTGACTTTCCCCCCTCGTCGGCGTGCTTGAGAGGTGTTCTGGCGCTCTTCCTGGCTTCTCCCTGGCTCCTTCCATGCTGCTGCAGACGTTGGGTTGGGTAGGTGATGCTCCCGCGTCTGCCTGCAGTCTGTGGGGACGCACAGACGCAGGCTGCCCAACCATGATGGGCTGGGGCTTGCCGCCCAGTGCGGCCAACGCTAAATTGCACCGAGCGAGCCGGTGGGTTGGCCAGAGCCAGTCCAATTATCCACCCCAAACGGTTGTCCAGCGCGAGACTGGCGTAGTGTGAGCTCCAGTCCTGGGCCCAGGATACGACGGGTTGCATCCACAATCCACAGTCATCCACCCCCCAGCCATCCCATCCACCCATCCCACCACCACCTGCTGAAATCCGCCGACGACGACATTGACGGCCTCCGCTCGACAACCATCACACATACCCGATACCCAATGCTTGCGACGATCGCTTCGAGGAGCATTGGCCCTGTTCTGTGATCCCCCGCCTCCAGTGCTGCCTGCTGTGAGCACATTTGAGGCTTGTTTGTTTCGACGACATAATACTGTATATCCCCCCTGGAGTCGAGCGGGCTGTTGATTTGGACATTTCGTTCCTTTTTCATTTTGCGACGCATCCCGAGCGCCTTGTTCCGGGGACACCCAACCTCCAGCGATACAGGCCGAGCAAGCTCCGGGAGTCCACGCCACCTCCGCTTATCCTCGCGTCATCTCTCCTCTTTCCATCGACCCTGACGCTTGGTCGATATACGACCTCGTGGCTATCACGGCTCGCCAACCATTAGTTCAGGGCAACTACCACCACACCACCACCACCACGACAGCCGCAACCATGGCAGAGCCAGGCGCCGACGCAGGTAAGCATACATACTTCCTATTTACGCCGCCCGCCTACCAAACAAACAGCAACAAAAAACGCCTTGCGAACAGCTTCCCCGGCCCCGGGTCTCAGATAACTAACCGGCACCTTCAACAAAACCCGCAGGCGCGCCGAACCTTAACCTCACCGTAGAGGAGAAGAGAGTCTACGGCCAGCTCTTCCGGCAAGCCGACTTGGATGGGGTGGGTGTTGTCACCGGTGATGTGGCTGTCAAGTTCTTCGACAAGACGAGGCTGGACTCGAGGGTTCTAGGCGAGATTTGGCAGATCGCAGATCGCGAGAACAGGGGCTTCCTCACCCCCGCCGGCTTCGGCATTGTCCTCCGCCTCATCGGCCACGCCCAGGCCGGTCGCGAGCCCGCTGCCGAGGTTGCCCTGCAACCAGGCCCCCTTCCACGATTCGATGGAATCACCATCCAGGGCGTGGCGGCCCAACCTACCGGACCGCCCCCCGCTGCTGGGCCCATCCCGGCGCAAGGAACCGGCGGCGTGCGTATCCCGCCCTTGACTCCCGAAAAGGCGGCCCAATTCGCTGGTCTTTTCGAGCAGCAGCCGCTGGCGCCCGGAAACATGCTGCCCGGTGATCAGGCCCGCCAGATCTTTGAGCGTTCTGGCCTGCCCACCGAGGTCCTTGGCCGTATCTGGCAGCTCGCCGATACTGAGCAGCGTGGCGCGCTGGTTCAGACCGAGTTCATCATTGCCATGCACCTGCTGGCCACTACGAAGCAAGGACAGCTGCGCGCTCTTCCCACCGTTGTACCCGCCGGCCTGTACGAGGCTGCCACCAGGCGCCCTACGGGCATACCCCGCCAACAAAGCCCGAGTCCTGTCGCTCCTCCCATTCCCGCCATCCCACGGCAACTTAGCGGTCAGGCTCAGATGCGGACGGGCAGCCCCCTCGGCCGATCGCACCCGGCTCCTCCGGGTGGTGACTGGCTCGTCACGGCGGCCGACAAGGTTCGGTTCGACCAGGAGTACGCAAAACTGGACAAGGCGAATAGGGGCTTCATCACGGGCGAGGAGGCTGTACCCTTCTTCAGCCAGTCCAGGCTCCCCGAGGATACTCTCGCCCAGATCTGGGACCTGGCCGACCTGACCTCACAGGGCCGCCTGACGCGGGACGAATTCGCCATCGCCATGTATCTGATCCGGCAGCAGCGCACCAACCGCGACACCCCGCTGCCGACAACTGTCCCGCAAAACCTTATTCCCCCAAGCATGCGCGCGCAGGTCAGGCCGCCGACCGCTACTGGCTCGTCCGCTTTCGATGTGCCCCAGCAGCCGATGCCTGCCCCGCAGCCGCAGCCGCAGCCGCAGCCGAAGTCGGCCCTGGACGACCTCTTCGGCCTGGATTCACCACCAACCATGCCTGCTGCGCCCGTTCAGAAGGCTGTGACTACCGGAGGGTCCAACGATCCCTTTGGCAGCAACGCTAGTCCCGCCCCTGCCTCTCCCGCCAGACCCTCGCCCACGACTAGCTCGTTTGCTCCTTTCGTACCGTCGTCATCCTTTGGTCGTACCCTCACGGCACAGGCTACTGGAGCCTCTACCAGCTCCGCTGGTGGTATGCAACGATCGGGAACCCTGCCGCCACAGACCGCCGCCCAGGACGACCTCCTAGGTGACAGCGATGATGTCGGCAAGAGCTTGAGTAACGACACGGCGGAGCTGGCGAACCTATCGAACCAGATCACGTCTCTCAGCAAGCATGTGCAGGAAGTGCGAGGTCAGCAGGCCACGACACAGAACGAGCTCACTCAGGCCAGCGCGCAGAAGAAGAACTTTGAGCAGCGGTTGTCGCAGCTTCGTGCAGCATACGAGAAAGAGGCCAAGGATGTCAGAGCGCTGGAGGAGCAGCTCAATGCATCTCGCACAGATACAAAGAAACTGCAGACTGAGATGGCCATGCTGGAGGGCACATACCAGGATCTGCAGGCCCAGCACCGCCAGGTCGCCACGGCCCTTCAGGCTGACCAGCAGGAGAATGCTGCCTTGAAGGAGCGCATCCGCGTCGTCAACGCCGAGGTGGCGCAGCTCAAGCCCAAGATCGAGAAGCTCAGGTCCGAGGCTCGCCAGCAGAAAGGCCTCGTTGCAATCAACAAGAAGCAGCTGGCCACCAATGAGGGCGAGCGTGACAAGCTTAACAACGAGGCTGAAGAACTGGCCAAGAGCAACGAGGACTTGGCCAGGCAGGCCAGCACCGGGTCGCCGGTGCCGGCCCCGGCGCAGCTGGCAAGCCCGACCCCATCTTCGGCTAGCGTCAACAACCCGTTCTTCAGGCGTACGGGCAGCACGGATATTATGGGTGCTTTCGCGTCGCCCGCGGCCAAGCCTTTTGACAAGTCCTTTGACGACGTCTTTGGGCCCTCGCCCTCGTTTCCCGCCTCGACAGGCACCCCGCCGCCTGCCACCGCCTTCGGCCCGCAGCACACAGGAGCGTCCACGGGTAGTGCCGCGTCCTCCTTTGCCACGCCGGCGACGTCCAATACGCCGAACCTGAGCAGAACGGCAACACTGGCCCCCAACCCCATCCCGCCGCCACCGTCCCAGACGCGACAGATCAGCTCCAGCTTCCCCTTCGGCGAGGCCCCCGAGTCCATGACATCATCTCATCAGATCTCTCCGCCAGTGAGCAGGATGGGCCAGCCAGACACACCGCTTGCTGAGGCGGGAGCCAAGTCTCCGGCTGTCTCAGCGCTGGAGCCGATGGTTACGGGTCAGAGCATCACGTCGGAGTCGCAGAGGACCCTTGACAACAGGCCCACCAGCAGCGGTAGCAGCGCGCCCAAGCAAGGCGAGGCGGCAGGCGCCCCTGCACAGGGGCGCGCGCACTCGGACAGCATCAGTGACCCCTTTTCCGCCGTGGATCAGGCGAAAGCCAAGGATGACTTCGAGTCTGCGTTTGCCAGCTTCAAGAACGCCCACGGAAAGTCTGTGGGCGGGCCGTCGTCGTCTGGCTCGGCCGCTCCAGGCAACGACGCGTCCAAGGGCGCATTTGCTGACGCCTTTAACCGCGAGTTCCCGCCCATCTCGGAGCTCGAGCGCGACGACTATTCGGACTCGGACAGCGAGAAGGACGGGTTCGAGGACGACTTCGCCCCAGTATCGCCTCCTACAAACTCTGCCCAACCCGCCAAGGCCCCCGAGGCGACGGCCGTCAAGCCTCCCGCGGCCGAGGGCGCTACGAGGTATGATTTGCAGCCGACGAGTTTGTAGCGTGTGTAGAATTCTTCTTTGAATCGCGTCACGTCTTCAACACCCATTATCCCCATGGAATTTCTCCCCGCGTTTCTTTTAGGCGTAGTTCGTGATGGCTGACTGTCGGATGTGTAGTGAGGCGGCCCCGTCCCCAACGGCTGCCACCTCGTCGTCATCCATCAGCACCGCCATGCCGGCAGGCCAGTCCAACGTGAACTCCATCTGGGGTGATTCCATGGCCGCATCCTCCTCTCCCGCACCTGCGGCAGGACAGAGCGAACAGGAATCATCAGCTGTGGCCCTTCCGCCACTGCCAGCCAAGCAGGCATTTGATGATCTGGAGGATGACTTTGAGGGGCTTGAGGACGCAAAGGAGGGATCCACAGCCGATGACGACTTTGCCAACATCTCACGCTCGGCACTTGATGACTTCAACCCGGTCTTCGACTCGTCTCCGCCGCGTAGCCACGCGGCAAAGAGTGACGGTGGCTCCAACAACGCACCAGCTGGCGGCGCGCCCAACTTCGCCACCGAGAGTAGTAGCTTCGACTTCGTCAGCGGCAGCAGCGCATCTCTCGGCAGCGGCAGCGGCATTGGCGCCGCCACGTCGTCGGGCGGCGCGTCAGCCCCGCCTGCCGGCCCCCCGCCCGCTGCCGGTGGGCCGGAGAACCACGATTGGGACGCACTCTTTGCTAGCCTTGATGAGCCGCAGCCTGCCTCGGGTGCTGTTCCCACCGCGCCGGGGGCTCCCGCTGTCGCCACCAATACCGCACCCGGCCCCTCGGGATCCCCGCCTCCCCCTAGAGCGGCTGCATCCCCCTCCCCGGCGGCTCCTGTGCCATCCCGCCCTGCTGCGGCTGGCCGTCTCCTGACCGAGGAGGGCGAGCATGATGACCCTATCCTCAAGAACCTGACTGGCATGGGTTACCCTCGCGCCGACGCACTGAACGCGCTGGAGAAGTACGACTACAACCTTGAGCGGGTGAGTGACTGTCATATCTGATACCATTCTCAACCATACATCCTGGAATAAAGGGTTGCTGATCAGGTTCCTTGTAACTCATAGGCTGCTAACTTCCTCGCCAGCCAGTCGTGAATAATAAATTTCACCTGACGGCTGCTGTACCCGCACACAATCCGTTGAACGAAGATTTGATGGATGGTGTACAGCCGTGTACCTGAAGCGAAGTCTGCACCGCAAATCAGCGCAAACCAGCCACCATCTTGATTCCTCATTCTAAATTCCTCACTCCAAATTGGACATCCAATATAGGTCCATCCTCTCACTCGCACTCTTCTTATTCACTTGAAGTCCCACCATAATCCAACGATCTCTAGTTATCCGTCTCTGCTTTGTCTGCCTTTTTTTTTTTCTCTCTCCGCATAGCCCGCTGAACCCCATTCCCCCCCCCGCGTTTGGCGCGTTTAACGATGCTTCCTTTGTAAAAACCGTCTCGATAGTGTGTGCTGTGCGTGTCTTGTGTTGTGATACCTGGTGGGCCAGACAGAATTGGGCTGGATAAACACTGCTTTGCTCCTTTTTTTGTTGTCGTTTTTGTTTTCTCTGAATCTATTCCCGTCTGCGGCCTGCATCGTCTCATATGGCGCTGTCATAATGCGTTTCTTCGTAAATACATCGGTTCAAGCGTCGCCATCGCTATCATCAACCACCTTGTTTGAAACGATCCCGTGACCCCGTCATGCGCCTGCTGTGGTCGGGCTTCCGCCCTGACGCCGGTATTATGGGGCGGCACAAACGAAGCGCACTGTTCATGACAGACGGACATGTGAAACCCCTGTTGAATATGTTCTCACGCTCGTACAAGATGCAAAGCAGAGTAGACTGGAGCACAGGTATCGGGACAATGGAGTTGTATATTTTCCGGAAACAGACCAAGCCAACCAACGATAGCGATACCAGGTCCTCTGAAGCAGATGAAAGGGCACACTATAAGTCAAATGGAATTCAGCCAAGCAGCCTTGCTATCCCTACAACCCGGCAACTTCGTAGTAGTCTCTGAACCTGTCCGTCTCTTCCCACCCAACCTTCCGCACGACGCCCCAGCAAACTATGAGAAGGTTCTCGAACCGCGTGGTCCAGAAGGACAGGTAGCCCTCGGGCAGCGACCCAACGACCTTCTTGAGCGAGTCGGGCATGTCCTCGTAGTGGTTCCTCTTGTTCCGCAGAGCGCGCAGCAGGTCCAGCATACGCGAACCCGTGTACTTGCGCTGGCGGCCGAGCGAGTCGACAAAGTCCCGCGGGAGTTGACGAAGGAAGTCGCCGCTCCGGATCACATGTGGCGCCGCATCCTCCAAAACCTGGAGGGCATACGACGGCGGGTCTCTCTGCTCCTTCTCAAAGTGGTCCGACACATCACACAGGAACGCCAGCCGCTTCTTGGCAGACCAAAAGAACGGATGCTTCATGACGTCCTTGGCCGTCGGGCGGTCCGAAGGCTCAAAGCTGAGCATACGCTCGACCACATCACGCGCCTCTTGAGCGTAGTCGCCAAGGACATCGAGTTTGCCGAGGTCGAAGGAGCCTTTGCGAATGTTGACCTCGCGCATGTACCGGTCGCCCTTGTCGTATGGGTGGGATCCCTTGGTGAGGACATAGAAGAAGACAAGGCCGAGGCTGAAGATGTCAATGGCGCGCGTGGCCCGGCGATTGGGTGCCTCGGTGCCACCCAGGGCGCTTCCGGAACCGCTGTGCGTAGAGCTGGAATCGATCATGGTGGCCTGATTGGCAGTGAGGTTGTCCCGCGCATCGTCGTCGAGAAGCAGCTCGGGAGCTCTCCAGCCAGTGGTGCCGGCGGCGTGAGCTGTCGTAGCCCCGAAAGAGCTCTGGCCTCCCTCGAGCTTCTTGCAGAGGCCAAAGTCCGATACAAGCAAGCGTGGTTTACCGTCCTTGCTCATGTTGACCAGGATGTTCTGCGGCTTGAGGTCGCGGTGGACAATGCGGAGAGAGTGCAGATGGCTCAAGCCGTTGGTAATCTGATACAGCACGTTGGGGAGATCTCGCTCTCCCGCCTGAGCCAGGTCGCGGAAGTACATGGGCTTCTCAATGACGTCAGCCAGTGATGCCTGGCACAGCTCGAGGGCGATGTAGAGGAAAGCAGCACGCTGCTGTTGGGCGTAGTATCTGATGACTATAGCACGAGCCGGGTTGTCAGTTCCATCATATCTCGACGCAAATTAGTGTAGTGTGTGCAAGGGTCGGAAAAGCACGAACCGTTTGGATGGTCATCGCTTTCTCTGAGCAGACGAGTCTCTTGAGAAGCAATGTCGTAGAACTGGATGAGCATCCGCTTGACGGCTACGTCACGCCCGTCCCACCGACCCGCAAACACGACGGTCCCGTTGCTGCCTGTGCCCAGCTGCTGGTCTTCGTTGACCTCGAGGCTGCCCATCCTGTAGATGGGACCGGTCAGGTCCTGGACGTCATTGATAACGGTGTGGATGTCGGGCTCCAGTCGTAGCTGCTGCTCTCCGAGCTTCTTTGCCTGGTCGACAATCTCGTTGACCGAGACAATGGCCGGCTCGTCATCTCTCGAGACAGACCCTTCACGCTTCTTTTTGCGATGTTTTGCACCAGCGCGTCGACCTCTATGGGCTTTCTTCTTCTTCTCGGGCTCTGGACTGACCTCATTCGAAGTTTCTGAAGCCGACTGGGCACTAGACTCGATGGGGGTGGCAACTCGCACGCTGGGGCCATCGGCACTACCGGAATCGCCGGTGCCCTCAGAGGTTTCCAGAGGCTTGGCCGGCTGGTCTATCCCTGTTTTGGGCTGGGAAGATGCTCCATCGCCATCGGCAACTGCCAAAATGGGAGAAGACTGAATCGCATCGGTTGACTTGATGGGGTCAGCGTCGGTGTTGACGGGTGATACGATTGGTTTAACGGTCAAATCTTCCGCGTGGTCTGCCTTGTCTCCTGCCTCAGAGGAGGCGTCTTCGGCACGGTCTACCCATTTGGCCTTGCGGTCGTTGTAGTATCTCCTCAGGTCGTGATGCTTGTAGAAGATGCCGCTAATGAGCATGATGATGAAGATGGGGTTGCTCAAAAAGTCCCAAGTGAGTCCCGCCACAGTTTGGGGCAGGCCCTTGACCTTTGCGATCATGAGGGTCTCCTCGAGCGGCACGCCAGGAACGTGAGGCGCCGTCGAGCTGTTCTCTGGCTCTTCCATGGCGCCGTGAGGGATACTGCCATCTGGAAGGCTTGGCAGCGTCGGTTTTGGCAAGCCATGGCCGGGGTATGGTTGAGAGTCATGGCGGTTGAGACTGTGCTTGCCGACAAGCAACTTGGCGAGCTGGTCGCTATCGAGCTTCTCCCACAGGTCTTGGTTGATGCTGGAACGGTGCTTGTTCGCCACAGCCTCATCGGCAACGTCCAGCAAGGGATACGAGACGCCGCCAAGAGCGTACCAGCCGCCACCCAGGGTGCGATTGAGAAATACCATGTTTGTCCTGCTGTGGGCCTCGGCGTCGTTGATGGAGGGAATCGGGGGCTGCGGGATGACCTTAAGATCCGGGCTGCTCCCGGGGGGCGCTCCAGCAGGGCGAAGTACGTCGAAGACGCGAGCGACTGACGAGCGGAAGGTATGCTTGAATTTGTGCTGATGGCCCAAGGCTCGCTCACGGTCGAATCCCCAGACAGCTCCCTTGGCGCCTGTCACGATATACTGGTTATCCAGGGTGACACGGTATTGGGATATGAGGTCGTGGTCGTAGTTGTTGGGTGTCCACTCCCAGAACTTGATGGTGGCAATGGGCCGCCCGGCAGCATTGCTGATGCCGATGGTGTAGTCGGCACGGCCAATGGCGATGGTGCCGCTGTTACCACACTCTTCGCCGCCGTCGACATCGACCATGAAGTTGTTTGGTCGCATGCAGCTGTCGACCGAGACGACTTGGTTCTCGGTTGAGCCGAAATACTGAATAGATCTGCCCGTGGTCACGTCGATCTTGAACATGGAAGACTCCTTCTTGCCGGCGTAGAAGACGGCCGGCTGCTCGGTGCCGTGGGGCGACTTCTCTACGAGCTCCTTGATGGTTAAGCCCGAGGCTACCAGCCCGGTATTCGGGATGTAAAAGTAGAGGCGACCGTCGAGAGTAGGCTCAACGATCCAGATGTAGTGGTCGATGGGCGAGTAGTCGTCATCGAGGACCGACACATTGGCCCGGTGATGGACGATATCGACCATGGGGCGTTCGAGTTTGTGGTGCCAAAGCTCACGGCCGGTGTGGCGGTTGCAGGCATAAAGGTCTCCGTCGACGGTCGCCATGATTACGAAATCTTCGACTTCCCAGTCGGCCAGAGACCGCGCAGTATGCGGCGAGACGAGCCCAGCTCCGATGGAGGTGGGGCCGTGTCTTCTGGTGGCTGGTGCTCGAACGGACAACAAGTCCGGAGCTAAAGTAGCGAGGGCGCTCTCGTCTTGGGGAATAATAATATCTTCATAGTATCGGTTCTTCTTGGTGGACCCACTCTCGGTGTGGCCGTTGCTGTCCTCGGGCGTCGAGGTGGTGCTCCTCCGCTTCACGACGGGGGTTTCTATAGCGCCGCGGGTGACGGTGGCGCCGGCATTCTGGCGGACCGCACGCTCGGCCTCGAGCGGAGACTCATGGCGGCGGTGGGGGTATTCATCGCTGCGGCTGGCCTTGCCGGCGAGGTGGTGGTCGGGGATTGGGGCGTGTTTGCCGACGCGGAGGTGGTCGCTCTCGACGACCTTGTTTTCGAGTTGGTGTTGCTGCTGTTGCTGCTGCTGCTGAGCTTCAACGAGGAGGAACGGGATGAGGAGGACGGCGAAGGCGAGGAATAGCTTGTTGTTGCGCTGCTGGGCGACGGGGCCGGGTGGCCGCCGCATCATCTTGGGTACAACCAGGCGGAGCCGGAATCGGGTTGAGGTTCAATAGGGCGACATCTGGGTGACGTCGGCCGACGCGGCAACATCGGCCCAGGTATGCGGCTCGATCGGTCGGATGCTCGCTTGCCGGCTTGCGGTGAGCGGCCAGTCGGTGGTGCAGACGGACAGGAGAGACTGGCGGTGGGCGGGAGCAGCAGGAACTTGCTGCCACGGGCCGAAATGACGGAAACCTGCGTCTCTCGGGCTCGGACAAAGACACGACTTTACAGTGAAGAAGGCAGCGACAAATGTCTGTAATTGGGGGACGGAAGGAGAGACAAGAAGTGGCTGGCGAGGGGAGCGGGAAGGGGAAGATGGGGGGATTACGACGGCCAGCAGCTGATGCTGATGGGAGAGAAGGGAAGGGGAGAGAGCGGGAATGATGGAGGTGCAGCAGCAGGATGGGCGGAGGGTGAGATTTGTCCGTGTGGGCGCCATCGGCTAGCTGAGCAGGGATTGGTGGACGGGCGAGACAGCACTGTGCGTGCTGGGCGCTGGTTGGACGGGGGCTGAGAGGTGGGGTGCCCAGCACGGCTGGACCTGGCCCCTTCTTTCTGGTCAGACACGAAAATCTTGTGGGCGTTTGGAATGGCATGTCACGAAAATGGACTATTGCAGATGGAATCCCGACCAGCCGTCACTGATGGTACTTTGCTGCGGCATTTTGGTGGCGAATACAGGCACGGACTACAGCAATACAAGCAGAGCGAAAAAAAAAAAAGGAAAATAGATGGACGGCGAAATTTCAGTACGGCACAGCCCAAACTCAGAGCCACCAACGGCCACACTCGGCTGCCAACAGAGCACAGCAGGTACCAGGTGTGCCAGGCTAAAAATGAGTACTAAATACCAAATGTGTGTTTCTGCCACGGCCAATTACGGCCCAGCCCTCGCCCGTCAATGTCCACGACGACCCGACTCACCAAAACTAGGCCCGGGGAACGGACGGGGATCCATCCTGGATGCACGGGCTGCTCGCTCCGTCGACTTGTGGGGCAGGCCACAGTGCCACTGTGGCAGAGACCATGGAAACGACGCCAGGCTAAACGGCTGCAAGGGGGCCATTCGGCTCTGACAGACATGTGTGCTGCTGCCGGCAGAGCGACAGACACGCTTCGTCTCGCTAGTGCCGAGCCCACAGCTGGCGTGCTGGCGTGCTGGCGTGCTGTTGTGCTGGCCCGACTGGGCCTGCATTAGCAAGTGCTTTGCCCTGTC